CCTTACCGGCTAAGGTCAGCCGGTTTGTCGGGCTGGAGGTGTTAAACATAAGCTCCAACCCAATCCATGGAAGTATCCCTCAATCCATAGTCAAGTTCAAGAAACTGAAGAGCCTAGTTTTGAGAGACAACTTTTTCAATGGGAGTGTCCCCGATCTTAAGGGGTTCTCAGTACTAGAAGAGCTTGATTTGAGTGGGAATAGCCTAGGACCAGGTTTCCCTTCCTTGGGAAGCAACCTAGTTAAAGTTGTTCTAAGCAACAACTCTCTGAGGTCTGCAGTTCCAGAAGAAATGGAAAAGATGAAAAGTATGGAAATTTTGGATCTTTATGCCAACAACCTTGTCGGGTCAATCCCATCTTTCCTGTTTTCATTGCCATCATTAAAGTACATAAATCTTGGAAGGAATCAGTTCAGTGGAGAGCTTCATGGTAGTGTTTCATGCAGCAAAAGCCTTAACTTTGTGGACATTTCTAACAACCTTCTAGTAGGAAAGCTCCCAGTATGCCTACAAGGATCATCAAACTCAGGAAATCGGACCATTATCAGTCTATGGAACTGTCTCGGTAATACAACCTCATCAAGGTTTTATCAGCATGCACATTCTTTCTGTGCTGAGAAGGCCATAGCTGTTAATCCAAATTCAAGAGGTGAGGAACACCATGAATCCTCCACAATCAAGCTTGGGATAGTTCTTGGTGTGATTGGGGGGATTGTGGCAGTTTTTAGCGCCATTGGGTTCTTGATCTTAGCCACTTACAGGACAGTATCTAGAAAAAGAGATCAGGAGAAGAGTGGGAGTTTCACCTTCAACACTAACCCATCCAGCCATTTTGATGGAGGTAAATTTAAACAAAGATTAGCTGATTTTGTTTACTAATGCCCCTGTTTCTAATGGTGTGTTGGATTATCGGTTAGGGAATTCGAGAAGGCCAGCGAGGATGGTGTCCATAGGATTGCCACCGTACAATGTGTTCACACAGGAGGAAATGGAGGATGCAACCAACCACTTTGATCCATCCAATCTTGTTGGAGAAGGGTCTCAGGGCCAGCAGGTACTTGAGATGATTGAGAATTATTTTCGGTACTAATTATTAAACGGAGATTATGCTTTGGACTTTCCATACAATATTATACTCTCCCTCCCAAAAAACTTTTCCATTTTCAAAACTTTGAACAACTATATATTTTTATTGAAAATTATTTACAATATAAAAACTATATGAAAATGTTCTTTGTTAAAAGTTCTTTCATAAAAGTATAAAATTTATGACTTCCATAATATTAAACTAATAAAAATAAAGGTTCAATTTTTTTAAAATGCTAAAGTTTTGTTTTGGACAGAGGTAGTATAAGACTATTAAATAATTCAGTGAGGGGGTGAGAGCCACGTTTGGTATAGGTAAATTTAGCTAAATGAACTGAATTTGCTAATATCATGATTGAAATAGAGGAATAAGCAAATTATCTAAAAAGGTACTCCCTTTCTAGATAATAAATATCGGTACCGAGAATAATAAAGTAAAAATCGTGTGTTTAAGTTGTCGAGAGAGGAGAGAAATATCACGAACCATAAATTAGTTGATTACAAGGGAAAGAGAGAGAAAAATTGAGAAAACCCAAAATGGAAAGATAACAAAGTTACAAGAGATGGATGGAATATTTGTTAATAAATTACAGAATTATCTCTCCATTCACATTTAATTATTTTCGGATTTATCATAGAATTTATTAGCAAACTTGTACAAGTAATAGTACAAAAGAGACCGGAGAAGTGGTGAAAAACTAAAAAATAAAGGTAAGAAAGAAAACATGAAAAATTGCTGATTTTCTTTTCTCCTTTTAAAGGGGGAAATAAATAATATACTCCAAACTTTGTTTTGGTGTGAGCTCCCATCCCGAACTTGTCCTAGAATAAAAAATACCCCCAAATTTATTTATTTAAATTTTTTGTACCATATTTTAATTAACAAATAATATTTCTCAAATTAAAACATGTTAATTAGATTCAATTGGCAAAGAAAGATGCGTGATTTCCCAAAAATGTGTGCTTTCCTAGATGGTTTGGTATGACATGAGGCATAAATATCTCAATTTTACAAAGTAGCAGATATTTATACAATGTGGACAAGTTTGGGGTAGAGATATCACACATATGCAAAGTTTATGATATTTTATTTATTTTACCCCCTTTAAAATGATGCTAGATGCAAAAGAATAAAAAACAGAGCAAGTATTAATAAACAGCTTCAAAAAAAAGGAACATGAAGGGGCTACAATAAAAAGTACCAAATGAGGTAGCTGAAAGATCATTTAAACAGGGATTGGTTTTCTTTCACTGTCATAGTCGCATCCTTAGCTATGTCATTAAGTCAAGTAGGATTGGGTCTTTTTCAAGGCATGAAGTAGTTGGGAATTTAAGGAGGGGCATTTATTTAATATGGAGTGTTTTTTTTTTTAAATGAGCAGGTGTATAGAGGTAAGCTTAAAGATGGAACAGGGGTCCTGGTCAACTGTCAGAAATTAATGCAGCAGAAGCATTCAACACAAGTTCTTCAACAACACATGGATGCCATATCGAAGCTGAGGCATAGGCATTTGATCAGTGTACTTGGTCACTCCCTTGTTACCTCCCAAGAACACCCTCCCACTGCATCTACCACTCTGTTCATAGTGCTCGAAAACATTGCCGGTGCATCCTCCCTAAAGGACCAGCTCACTGGTAATTTTATATGGACTTATAAAAACAAAAAATCATTTTTTTCTGGTAATAAAGAAGAAATTTATGCTTTTAACACAGTTTACTAATGCACAACTGTTTTTGACAGATTGGAGAAAGAGGGATGTTCTAAAATGGCCTGAGAGAATGGGAATGGCAATTGGGATCACAAAGGGAATCCAATATTTGCATGCAGGAAGGGTTACTGGGAATGACTTAAAACTTGAGAATGTGTTGTTGGATGACACTCTAACTGCTAGGCTTTGCAACTTTAACATTTCTCTCCCATCTAAGGTAGTAAACTAAGTACTAATCCTTACAAAAAAAACAAAAAAAAAAATGTGTGAGACCCTTGTAAAACACAATAAAAGTGAAAAAATAAAGACCTTAAAACACAATTGTGGTAAAAAAGAATACTTTTAAAAGGCATTTCACCTAAGACGGTCTCACTTGACAAGTTGATACATTAAAAGTGAAAATATCTAACCCCGTTAGCTCTAATTCTTTTTTTTACTTGCAACCACAGATTTTATCTGAAAGTTCTCGCAATGCACATGATCGGGATCGAACCAGGTACTCGGTACTCCTGCAACTCTATGATTAAGTTTCTTGAAATTAATTGAGATATATACTATTTACTCACCAGACCTAAAAAACAGTTCAAAGAATGCAGAACAAGATGATATATATCAGCTAGGAGTCATTCTGATTGAACTAATTATTGGTAGACCAATCACATCTCAAGCTGAAGTAAAAGACCTCAAACTACAGGTAATAAAATAATTTCAATTAAAAACCCATGCCCCAAAGAGTACATTGAACTATTGAAGAGATGCTAAAACAAGATGGTCTCTTTTTTATGACATAACAGATAGAGATATGCTTAGCAGAATCTCCAGGAAAGCTGCGCAATCTAACAGATCCATGCATACGAAGTACATTTGCATATGAATCTCTCAAAACAACTGTCCAGATAGCATTGAACTGCCTCAATCAAGAACCAAGCAGGCGCCCGTCGATTGAGGATGTTCTTTGGCATCTTCAATACTCAATTCAGGTTCAAGAAGGATGGGGTAACAGTGGAAACCTCAGTGGGAAGATCAGCGGAAACCTAAGTGGACATGTTGGAACTAAACTTTGACAATTTTCAAACATTGTAATCTGTCTGTGAAAGGGTTTTGTGCATGACAAACCACTAGCTAGCTGAATAATCGTGCTGAAATGAAGTTGCAACATATCATACCTTTAATATTTTAATCTATTATTTATATAGATATATAAATATATTTTTTGTACACATATATATGAATATATAGAACATGGATCAAATAAAGAAGTTCTTAACGTTTGAAAATGTGAACTGCACTTCTACTCATTTATAGGTGAAGTATTATACTTTACTCAGTAGCAAAAATGAGTGAACTTTACTATACTTTTTGAAGAAAAAAACGCAGTGGCAATTTTATAAACGGGTGAACTTTTTACGAACGTTCGAAGTACATTACTTGAGCATAAGTGTGCAATGTAGCGATGTACAAGTAACTATTTCGCACTTCACACGTTAAGCACATTTTTATTTGAAACAAATGTTTTCTATATATATTCTTAGGACGTCGTCATCATCATCATTACCCCAGTGTCGCAAAGGCTCCCACCAATGGTGGTGTAAGGGGAGTCGGATGTACGCAGCCTTACCCCAGTGCGGTAAAGGCTCCCACCTACGGTGGGGTAAGGGGGTCGGATGTACGCAATCTTACCCCTGTACTAAAGCACAGAGAGACTATTTTCAGATGACCCATAGTGGAAATCGCGTCCAAAGTTGCAAGGACTGACTGCTGCTTCATAACAAAGAAGCGCAAAAAGTTTAGTGAACCATTTTGCTTTATTCCATCATATTCTCAAGCTAAGAAATATTGAATCTTTGGCTTCATTGCAAATGATGGAAATACTTCATAACAAAGAAGCGCAAACAATTTAGTGAGTCATTTTGCTTTATTCCATCACATAGATCAAATGTTGGATAATAGGCTTGGAATCCAATAATCATTAAAGAAATAACACATTATGGTAATTATTAAAATATGAGAACTAAAATATCATAAAATATAATGTCATCAAAAGTTATTTTACACTTTTACCTTTTCATAGCACTAAGTGACTCTTCGTCCAAATTTATAAGTGTGAATTACTTTTTGCATGGAAATTAAAGAAGCAAATGCTATGTGAATAAGTTCCTACTTCACCCTATTAAAGTTAAAGGTGAGTAGCCTTTTCAAACTTGTGGAAGAGTTTTAATCATCCTCGATTAGATCGAGTATTTAATATAAAAAAATGGAAATAGTGCAATAAACTACTTGCTCATTATGACACGATTGTGATGATTCATTGACAATGGCTTGAAATCTTCCATAATCAGCACATAACAACTAATATTGCATAACGACTATATTAATGTTTCATGATGGTAGCATTCGGTGTTATGTACCCGGTTACAACTTGCACCCAACAAAATACATCATGACCAGATGAAAGAGTAATGGCAAAAAGATTGAAGTGCAAGAAGCAAGCCCATCACCAGTGACCTCACAAGTCAGTACCATTTCTCATATCTATCTTTGCCACTCAAAAGTAGCACCTGATCTGGGATTAGCAGTATTTGCATGGCTTGTCTCTTCATCTGGAATGAAGGAGCTTACGCAGGTGTGCCAACCTAAAAGATATGGCAATACAAACTGCAGAAGAGCACATACACGGATTTGAGTGGATATAAGTCGCCATCATGATTAGGGAAGCTATATATATGAAGCAATAAGAGATGCTTCTTACATTGAAAGCAGATACAAGAACAGTGAATTCAGCTCTCATAACAGGTATGTAGATGCTTTCATCAACATTTATAAGCTTGTTTTGCACACCTTCAATTCATTTTACCACAACAGAAATAAAAAAAAATTATATACAACACATATATTAGAAAAGAAGTATGAAATACATACTGAGATTGAAGAAATGGCCAGATCCATCAGGTAGGGGTTCAATCTTCAACACCTTCCTGACTTTGCCTTCATCACTACAAACAAACAAAAGCAAACAAAACATTCATATTTATAAGGGCAGCCCGGTGCATGTTGGTGTTCTTACAAAGCGAGGGTCCGGGAAGGGTCCCACCACAAGGGTGTATGGGGGCGGAGGCAAGCACAAGGGTGTATGGGGGCGGAGGCAAGCCTTCCATTGTCGTTTTGACAAGAGGTCACTCCCCAGACTTGAACCCATGACCCCATGATCAGTTGATCACACGCCAACAACCCTGTAATTTCCCTTGAAACATTTATATTTATTTCATTAAAAATAATTGGAAACATATAATACATTCAACGCCTTCTTGACTTTCACTTCATCATACCTTTTTCCTTTGTTAGGGTCATGAAAAAAATCGCATGACTCTTTTTCCCCAAGGCCAATCAAAGACCCTAACTCAGTAACTGACAATGAAAACACCTGGAGACAGATAAAGTGAAATTACCTAATTGCAAATCAAGTCACAGGTAGTAAAATGAAATCTTTAGTCCAAGTAAAAACATGAAGTAAGCAATGGTAGACATTGAAAAGTGATCACCTGCTTTCTGCTCCAATCATACTGACGAACACCAGCTGCGGGAGCAAACTGAAGTAACACAAAGCCCTCTTTTGACAGTTTGAATGCCCCTGACTGCCCAGTTTTTTTATAACCACAAACGAATCAAAATATACTAAAAAAATAACTATAAAATGAGAACAACTTCATTTGCTAAAATCCTCATAACATGAAGAATCATTTATGAACACATACATCTAAAGGTGAGAACTCTGGAGCACAAGGAACCACTGTAAGAGCAGCCTTTCCCTTATAAATTGAGTAACCAACAAAAACCTTGGGCGGTAATGTTCCTGGTAAAGTCAAAGCACATTAACTGTTTTTGTTTCTAAAACAAATAGAAGAATACTATGTGTCTATGCAGTCCATCACAGGACTACTCAAACGATGTTAAAGAAAACTTCCACTTTTCCTTGTCTCATTTGGAAATCAACAAGAAAAGCTCAATCTAAGTCACTGATGGAAAGACGTGTTACACGAAATAAAAAGAAAACCATTCACAACTCTCCCAACATGAGTTAAAAAAACCTCACCTTTTTTCTATCAATTAACAGGGCCTTAGTCATGCCTTAAATTGGGTTCCGATGGGAACATGATACATTCAGAGCTTCAGAGCCTATTACTACTACCCTACCTGGTACAAGTACTCACTAGTCACTACTCAATAAGTAATTAATTAAATAAATGAATAAAGTAATCAGCCTAAACCCTCAATTAGTATCTATCCAGTTCATCACCTTATAAAGGAAGTGAGAAGCTCCATTAAGGTTTGCAGCAACAAGAAAGGACGAAAATAGCGAATAGAGAATGAAATTTTTATCATTGACACCTGGTTGTGAAGAAATGGAAGAGAAATTAGAGGAACCCCAATGTGGTTGATGAGGTTCGAGGTACTCGGAATGGCGGCATACCAACGAAAGCTTTCTCCTTTGCAATGTCTTATCGGTGGGAAGTAAAGATGCTTTGAGGTTTGATTTGTGAGCTGTAGAAATGGAAGAGTGAGAAGACAGAGCTTGGAGATGATGAGAGCATGGTGGTTTTTTACTGTGAACTCCTCCCGCTGAAGACGAAGGTAGACAATGGTTCAACATTTGGGTGCAAATCGCATAAGGTTTAGGTGCAGTTTAAGGCTGGTTGGCTTGGTTTGTACACACTCTTATACATCTTTTCAAAAATGATGTTTGTACACACTCTTATACACACTTTTGTACACACCTATGTCTGTGAAAGCTTTTTTTTTTGTCTGTGAACATCGATTCACAGACAATGTTTTGCACAAACAAAATATTGTATGTGAACCGGATTCACAGACAAAAAAAAAAGCTTCACAAACATGGTGTGTATAAGGTGTGTACAAAGATGTGTACATTCTTTGTTTTCTTTTACTCACCAAAACTTTTGGGTGCAAATCCTTTATAACTTTGACTTTCCTTTTTTTGTTTTTCCAAAAACTTTTGATGAATCAATTTGTTGTTCCTGTTATTTCTCTCCCCTCTACACAAATATCTACCATACAGTTTTTACTTTATTATTCTACGTGCCAGACAAACTTGACAAACCTTTAAGGGACGGAGGGAGTAACACTGACTAGTAATTTTTTCAAAAATTCCCTTTATACCTGTTTTTGACCGTTTACGCTTTACACCTTGTTACCCGCGTTTGTGAAGACAATTTTTTGTGTGAGCACGGTGTTTTCAGAGACACGTGTAAGTAAAAATGTGTATAAGAAGAATTGTTCTTACTTCCTCCGTTCCATAAAGTTGCAATATTGGAATTTCTGCATTATCCACACATTTTACTTTGACTACGATTTTCTAATAATATATATAATAAAAATATTATGTATAAAATATTAATAAATTTGTATTGATGTAAATTTCCAATATATTAACTTTTTTTAATGTTTACTAATACGTAAATAGATACAATTACAGTCAATGTTGCATGTTGGCAAACGTGAAAGTCAAATTGTTGCAACTTTTATGGAACGGAGGATAGTATTATTTATTTCATACATTTAATTGGATATTAGTGAAAAACAGATATCAAACTCTTATGATTGAATTGATTGAATAGGACAATTTTACTTTTTCCATATTATTCCTTTTACTTTACTAATAAAATACTACCTTCATCCCGATGGACTTTGCACTCTTTGTATTAGGTGAAAATTAAGAATAGTAAAAGTGTATGATTGAAATTTGTGCAGAAGAGGGAAGAATGTGCAGAATTACAAAATAGTTATTTTGATAGAAAAGTGGCAAAAGTTTTTTTGGGCAACTCAAAAAAAAAATTGACAAAGTTTAATGAGACGAAAGGAGTACATAACTTTATTAATTATTCAGCATATTTAGTAATCTAGCTAGTTTCATTCATTTCAACTTATAAAATCATTCTTTAAAAAGGGAACTTATAAAATCCATCCTATATGTGTATATTTTGCATGGAATTGCATGGAATGTAATGTTTAAATGCTAAGGTTTGATATAAGATGATTAAGTGCTAGGTCTTGGATTACTCGTTAGTAGTGATGTGATATAGACCATGACTGTGTAAGGTATATGGTAAATCATAGGTTCGGGTGAAGTACCCAAGGTCTGGGCGGTGTCCTCAAAACTCATAGACTCAGGTGGACTACCTAGGGGCTGTACGGTGTCCTCAAAACTCATAGGTTCGGGTGGAGTACCCAGGGTCCGGGCGGTGTCCTCAAAACTCTGATATTTGGGGTGGAGTACTCAAGGAACAGGCGGTGTCCTCAAAACTCGGATATCATGGGTGTGGTGCCCAGGGCCAGGTGGGGTCCTAAAGCTTGTTGATGGATAATTGATACCCATATCCTATAACTAGTGAGAGTTTGAACAAGAGTGGAGAAGAAATGATGAAGAATAAGATGAATAGTGTATAGAATGAATATTGATTGTATGAGTTGTGTAGCCTCCTAAAGGAGTATATATAGGGAAAAACCGGGTTACATAAATGGACTGATAGTACAAAAAACTAATCTAGAACATCTGAATAATAATAATGTACAATAATATGAATGATATCTGCTAAACGTGTGTGGGCCGCTGTCCAGGCCCAGTAGTCGGCAGACCGGGGGGTCGGAGTCCATATATTCCATCAGGAGTCCCCCACTCCCTGAGTCGAGAGTACTCGAGGCGAAAGGGAGTAGTCCAAACTGTATCCGCAACGTTCTTCTGTCTTTGATTTCATCCACTCCGGCCGGGGGACCACCACCCTTGTCCATGATGGGGAGGTGCCTCGTTAAAAACCTTTACTAGGAAAAAACCCAATGGGAAAAAATCCTAATAAAGGGAAAAAGAGTACACCTAGCGCCCCCAACATGAAACAAGGAAGGTAGGCCCTCTGCGGCATAATCACTTTTGTCTAGCTCAACCCGTCTTCATCTGACCCATCTTTTGTTCCTGTTCATGCGTGATATCTTCTTCTCATCTAGAAACTCTGACCTCTCAATCCCCCAGTCCCCACTCTTTGAGGCAAGTGGAGACAAGGTGAACATGAGTAAAGTCATCTTTGTACCTACACATTTAGCATGCATATAATTTTTTTCCTTGAGGTTTATGTTTCCGATCGGGAGTTCGTCACTTGAAAAAAGTGGAAATGTGAATTGCTGATGTAATGATAAAATACTTAGTAGAGTGGATGTGTGAGCCATTCGTACGCAACGATCGCCACTCTTGGAATGACTAAGACCGGTCTTCATGCCTGAGAGTCAGAGCTTTGTGCCTGAGAGTCAGTGCTTTGTGCCTGAGAGTCAGGGCTTTGTGCCTGAGAGTCAGGGCTTTGTGCCTGAGAGTCAGGGCTTTAAATCCTAGTGATGGGTCTCAAGCCACGCTCTACTAGGCATTTGATCATAATTGTGTGATAGTTGGACATTCGGCCGACAAAAAGAAGATTTAAATAAATATAAATAATATGAAAATTAAAGAGCACTTATCTTTTGATGGGCTGAAATATTGGGCCACTTGGGTTGTATCTGTTGCAAAGACCACGACCCAACATTTTTTTAGACCGGTTCTAGACTAAGGTTGTCTGCTGGTCCACAAATTTTGATTGAAGCTAGTTATTTGCTCCATATTTTCTGGACCACCATGAGAGGAGTGGAGTGCATCCACGTATGGATCCTTCTAAGTCATATACTCTGTTTTTCAATTAATTTAGTGGGTCCACTGAATTAATTTAGATACCAATTTCTTCTGGCTTTTCACTGGTGAAGCTCGCATATGGGCCTGGCCTTACTGATGCCAGAAATGGAGGACCTCCCATATCACAGTACAGGCCACCGGAAATGAAGAGAGGCCTCGGCGGTCCAACCCCTGCTTAACAATCCGAAGCTAGAATCCCCATTAATGGCAGTAGGAGACCACCAAACTGCCATTCCAGAACGTTGAGATGCGACGGCGACAGACGCGGCGCCGGAGCGACCATAGAAACGCGGCGGCGCGGTAACAGAGGCGACGGAGTTCGTGCGCTGGACAGTTCGCCGGTGGCTGCTGGAGAAGGGTGAAGAAGCTGCTCGCCACTTCCTCCGTCAAGCTACGCTCTTCTTCGCGCACGGACGTCACTGGCGTGAAAAAATCGTTGACTGCCACCGGGGAGAGGAAGAGGGTCCATTGGGGCTGCTGCTATGCGTGGCATTTCTCTGTCCCCGGCGAGATCTTGAGCGCCAGCCTCGCGCAGGGAGCTCGTCATCTCCATCAATGGAAGAATCCTTGCAATGGCTCACCAGGGGCAGCGGCTGATGATGTTGCGGCGAAGGTGAAGAAATAGGCTTCGAGCGTCGTTTAGTGATGCTGAACCGAAGGCAGATGAAATACCTGCAAGCGGTGGTTCTGCAGCGGCGAGATCTCGAACGGGCGGCGAGACCCAGTAGCGGTGGCGGACGAGCTTCATGTTACGTGGACGGCAGCGACCAGGATCTAGAAACGGGTGGCGAGCTCCAGTGGGCGGAAAACGTCTGCTATGGCGCGTGACGGCGGCCGGAGCGGTGGTGCTAGCCCAGAAGCGGAGCGAACCACCCTGAGACACACCGGCGCAGTGACAGTTGCTCCGGCCAGGTCCGGCAAATCCCGGATCTTCGATGCCAGAACACAGAATCTTTTGTTGAATTTTCAGATTGCTTTTTGACTGATTTTCTGTGATTTTGGGTGTTTTTTGGGTAATTTGGGGAGGTTTTCTCACTTGATTGTGTTCAACCTCTCAACGAGAGCACCATTGATGGATAATTGATACCCATATCCTATAACTAGTGAGAGTTTGAATAAGAGTGGAGAAGAAATGATGAAGAAGAAGATGAATAGTGTATAGAATGAATATTGATTGTATGAGTTGTGTAGCCTCCTAAAGGAGTATATATAGGGAAAATCCGGGTTTGGGCCTCTAATATGGGCCCGACAGACCCGGTTACATAAATGGACTGATAGTACAAAAAACTAATATAGAACATCTGAATAATAATAATGTACAATAATATGAATGATATCTGCTAAACGTGTGTGGGCCGTTGTCCAGGCCTAGTAGTCGGTAGACCGGGGGGTCGGAGTCCATATATTCCATCACTTGTATTACCGGGAGAGTGGCCCGGTGGTTGAGTAAGGCTATCAACACTCGATGACATAATGAACCCTAGGTTATAGCAGGAGAGTCCTATAGGTCGGATATTTTCCAAGTGTATATACATATATGTATCTCAAAGACTTGGGGGAATTTTAAACGTATAGTATGTATCACCCTATGTTTGGGGTTTCTACCTGAAACGTTAGTTATTCTACATTTAACCTGCTTCTCGCCAGTACTCGTGTACCGACCCCTTCGGGGCCCTACAATTTTCATGTTGAAGTTAGAGCTTGCAACCTGCACCTTTGCACGGTGAAACGATCTTGAGGAATACGTGGTTCATGCTTCCTTTACTGTTTTGAAACTATAAATTAAACTACGCTCATGGATATTTTGTAATGATCGAATACTTTGTTTTGGGCCTGCGAGCCCACGTTTTGCCATATGTGGCCCATGATTGACTAATTGAATATTTCCGCTATTCACTCAATCTAAAGTGTGATGTTGTCATGTATGTTTACTTAGTGAGTATGATATGAACTATGTTCATGGACGCCTTGTACAATCGAGTGAGCGTGACCTGTGGGTGACGTCACTTAATTGTGTGGCGGATGTACACACGCCTAGATGCGGTCCATTTGACCGAACATGTTGTTTTGAAAAATGTGTTTTTTATGCCTCAATTGCGATGTAATTTGATTTCAGTATCTCATCTAACGGACAATTTAAATTGGTTATACAATTTAAATATGAAGAACTTCGAAGAACAGAAGAACACTTGTCCAACTGCGAAGAACGAAGACTGAACTTGAGTGTGGGACAAAGAGTTGTGACCCTATGACGAGACCAGCCACGCCTCCTGCCATCTTTGACATGTCCTGGTACCTGCGTTGTCCGCTCTTCTTCTCTGGACTCCGGTTCAGCGGTTCTGTGCCTCTGCCTGCGGCTCTGCACTTTGCGGCTCTGCCTCCAATGATCCAGCTCTAATGCTCCAGGTTAACTATAATTCTAATTCTTTCTTTAGATTTTTAATTTATTATTTTGACTCTTTTGAGTGACTTGGTGTTAATGACTTAATGTGTTAAACTCTTATTGTGTTTGTGTATTATTATTTCTAGCATTTCAGAGGTTTAGGGTTAGGGAATCAATTTGATTATTAATTGAATTTTTCAATGCATAATTAAATAGTGTTTAATTCATTATAAATTTGTAATGATTAAAGATAAAATTAAAGAGTAGAGAATGATTTAGTTATTATTCAATTGAAGAATAGAGAATGATTTATTTATTGTGTGGACATGTAAGAAAGAATTGAAAATTTCAATTGAATTTTGAAATTGAAAACACTTATTAGTTTTATGTACAACGATTATTTTTCCCTTATTAGTTACTCCATCCGTTTCACAATCAAAGTCACGCTTTCTATTTAGGAAAGTTTTATCATTTCATTTACCTTCTTACTCCTTTCCATTAAATATAAGGTTTTTCTCTTAATATTACTAAATTAAAGCAAATTTTCAAAAAGGTGACCACATTTATATTTGAACAAAAATGTGACTAAGATAAAGTGACACCCAAAAAAATCATGTCACTGTCCAATTTTTATGTCACTTTCGAATGTCACTACCACCATGTCAATATTGTCGCCATCTACCATGTCACCGCCGCCTGTCACAACCGTCATCGCCGCCGGTCACAACCGTCATCGTCGCCGGCCACAGTGACACTGCGACACTGACACCGTCAGCGCCCAGTGACACACCCCTGTCGACATCACCATACCATCGACACGGCCAGACCGTACTGGCCATTCCCCTCCCATCCATGTCGCCAACGTCACTATGACCTAGCCATCCTCAGTCGTCACCGGCAGTCACCACCACCAGCCACCCACCCTCAACCCCAAAATCCAGCCCCGACCCTATTTCCCAGCCCCCTGCCCCACACCCTGTCTCCCCAAGTCCTTCTCCAACCAGTTCACATAAAACCTCAGCCATAACACCACCACCAGCAGCGGCGGCCCCAAATCGGACCCCACCAACAACAGGTGCCCCAAATCCGACCACACCAGCAGCGGCGCCCCAAATTGGACCCCTCATCAGAGCCATTGTCCATGGATTATGCTGGATCCGACATCAACGGGCCAAATCGAAGTCATCGCCCTTTGAGAAAGATGGATCTGGAACCAACGGCCTCATATCGGAGCCGTCGTACATCGAAGGCGTGGCTAGCTACAACAACAGAGAAGCTAGATGAAGGTCAGGGCGGAGGTGCAAGATGCTACCGTCAACGATGTTTGATTGCGGCAGAGATGGTGGCTGCAACTCGTGGCAGAGCTCAGGCGGCGGCGGTGGTGGTTCAGCGATGAAGACGACAGAGAGAAGGTAGAAACCAGAATTCCAAAACGGAAGAGTGCAGCGATGGTTCGAATAGTTGAAAATGGAAGAGTGCACGATGGGTTGAAAAGCGTAAGAATGCAGCAAGAGTTATATAAAAAGTCACTTTCTGTCTTTTCTTAAAGTGGTCGTTCTTTGTAAATATAATCAACACATTTCTCATTAAATTTGCCCAAACCCCTTTCCTATTAATTATCCCACTCAACCAACCGCCTTATTCATCTTCCCAACCAACCGTCCCGTTTATTTTATACCAATATTGAAAATGTTTTTAGAATGGGTAATGAACATATTCCCAAGAAAGGAAAGAAGTTGAACCGTAAACTTATATACATTTTTTTCGAAAGTGAATCGTCAAACTGGTAAAAGGAAAGGAGTTCCGAACCTATACCTAAGGTACGAAAGTGCAAGATCTAGAGGTTCCTCCACTAACCAAAGTCCATAAAATCCAAACTATCTCAAATTTGGAGTTGCCTCCATCTTTTTCCGGTAAGAGAGATCCCTGAAAAGAACAAAGAGTGTCACAAGAACACTCACAAATTGGGGAAAATAATAAAAACAACTCAAATTTTGAAGGAGTGTGAGATAAGCACCCTAAATTTGCATATGTAATTTAAATATCTCAAATATTATATAAAAAATTATTTTAACAACATGTTCATGTATTATTTTTTCAAAAATTTCAAGTTTTGATGTTAATTTCATAATTTAAAATATTTTAGTATTCATGAAAATAAAATTAACATTCTAAACTTTTATCGTAAAATAAATAGTATTAGTCCCCACTCTATATAATTGTAATGTTTTAATTTGCTATGTTTTAACTTTTAATTATTTTTCCCTGGATAATTAACAAGCTCTTTTATAAACTAAAACAGTAAAACTACTTCGTTTCCTCGTACTGGTACTGGGCATAGAAAATCAGTCTTCTTCCAGACTTCCAGTCCACGAGTCCATCACTACTCTCTGCCGCTAGCTCTCCCACATTCCTGCCAGTCCTTGTCTCCTTGAATCCTCGATCATCCTCCTTCAGTCCTCCGATCGACGACCCGCCATCCGTCTTCGCTCTGTGGGCCTGTGGCTCTGTCCGCTGTCGCAGACTCGCAGTGACGCGGCGTTCCAGACTTGCAGAGTTGCAGTCGGCAATCGCGAATTGCTCCCGGCTCCTTCACGGCACCGTACCGGCGGTGCACGACCTCCAGCATTCCATCCCTCCACGGCTCCAGCACTCCATTTCGGGTTAGTGGTTAGCCTCTTCAATTCTTCATTCAGAAATTAGATGTTTAGAACCTAAAGTCTGTAAACCTAATCTGAAATCCGTAGATACCCTTTCCAAACCCCAATCCCCATTGCTTCCTGATGCCTAATTTGCCTTTCTAATATAGTATTATACATTTATACCTCAAATGTGCTTGAATGTCTCAACTCTCAACTGTAAATCAGTAAATGTCAACTGTGACAGTATACTTTTGTTGAATGTTTGGTTAAATTTACTGGTGTCTTTATATTTGGTGCAAGATTATTGTGATTATTTTAATTTTAATTAAGAAATTGCTCGAAATATGAGTAAAACATAGACAGTCAATGCACTTTGCCTATGTTTTACTCTTACTAAAGGAATTTTATCATTTTAATTTTACTTTAGTTTTGAACACCCAACATAAGGGCTAGACATGCCACTGATACGGCTTCAAGTACCAGACTACCAGTAGTATTAGTACCTTGAAAGTGAGTTCAAACAGAAGCTATGCCCTTAAATACATGAAAAGTAGGTTATGTTTCTCGTTTGAATGTGATAAGCATAGTCCAACACATTGTTTTGAGATATACACGTATGAAGGGTTATTTGGAAATTCAGATTATTGCACATGGATAAACTAAATGAATAATTTCTCAGGTTGGGCATTATTAATACAAACTACTTATTGATGCCTTGTAGCAGTCAAATATGGATGCCATCATGCTATATATTTGTCTAGTGCAATTTCAGTTCCAATTCTCACGATGTTGCAGCTTTTGCAGTCATCCTTAATGGTGTTTTTAATGTAACAGGCAATCACTGTGTTTTTTCTGTAATGTCTGAAATAGTAAACTACTCACAAACTATGTTTTGTTTCCTGCCTTTTCATCCACTGCTATTTGATGATTATATGTGCAGTTTGAAGTACCTAAATGCTGCTGGCAAGAGTATTCAGCCTCAAATATATGGTGTGCTTAAATAGTTCTATTGGATGAATCCCACATTAAGAAAATATTTATCACACCTCACTCTGATTAGGTGTTACTCTTCAGTGCTCCGTGCGACTCCAAGTACCAGTAGTAGTAGTGCCTTGAAAGTGAGTTCAAACAGAAGCTATGTCCTTACGTACATGGCAAGTAGGTTATGTTTCTCGTATGAATATAGTAAGCATAGTCAAACCCATTGTTTTGGGAATTTAGCTACTGATATAAAACCAGAAAAATTATGTTGGCAAGGATCCTCCCATGATGTTTTACTGACAAACCTTAAAGTCGCTTTAATGCATCACAATATTGATGAGGCTTGGGATACTTACAAAGATTTCAAGCGCCTATATGGTTTCCCTGACCACTCTCTTGTGACCAGGTTGGTAACTGAGTTGGCTTATTCGTCTGATTCCTATTGGCTTAAGAAGGCATGCAATTTGGTCATTTCTATTCGGAAGGATAATTTTGGGTTACTTCGGCCGGACTTATTGACTAAGCTCTCCCTTTCACTGGCAAGAGCCCAAATGCCTATTCGGGCGTCAACAGTTCTTAGACTGATTCTCCTGAAAAAGAGATTACCGCCATCTCATATTTTACAAATGATATTTCTTCATTTAGTGAAAACAGAGAACGGAATGATCCTTGCTTCAAATACCTTGATTGAGATCTGTGACGTGTTTCAACAATCCACCATAAACAAGTCTACCACTTATGGGAAATTCTGCACAAAACCCGACACTATGATTTTCAACCTTGTTCTTGATGCTTGTGTGAGGTTTGGGTCATCTATCAAAGGCCAATGTATCATTGAGCTGATGGCCCAAGTTGCAGTTACAGCTGATGTTCAAACCATCAGATGCATTTCTCTAATTCATGAGATGAATGGTACACGAGATGAACTTATGAAATTTAAAGAGCATATTGATCGGTTTCCGCTTGGTAATCTGATGTGTCACTATCGACAGTTCTATGAAAGCCTATTGAGCTTGCATTTCAAGTTTGATGATATCGATTCCGCTTCTGAACTTATACTGGATATGTATGTATCTGGCCATGCCCCGTATGACAGGAAGGAACCTGTTAAACCTTGCCTGATCCCACTAGGAGGATCACACCATCTTAAGAAGGGGTTAACACTACGTGTTGTGCCTTACTTACTACAGAAGGACACCATTCTTGACAATATGGGACCCAATCACAGGTTTGTCACATGTAATAAAGAAGGGGGAGTTCTTCTCACCAAGAAGGCCCTTGCCAAGCTCATGCTACAGTACAAGAAGTGTGGGAGAATAACTGACTTTTCAAAGCTTCTATGTAGGATCAACAAGGCCCTACCACCAAGTTCCACTAGAAACATACTTGATGATGTGGTTGATGCATGTGTGTGCCTTGGATGGCTTGAAACTGCCCATGACATTCTGGATGACTTAGATTTGGAAGGAAATCGACTGGCCAAAAGTTCTTACATGTCTCTTTTGTCAGCCTATCACCACCTAAAGATGTTTAGGGAAGCTGAATTGGTCCTAAAACTTCTTCATAAAGCAGATGATAGAGGAATATGTGATTTACAAAAACAAACTTGTTCAGGGAAATCAGATGTGAATAATCTTATTGCCCGGGATATGAGAGAACAGGAGAAAGAAGCGATAACTTCTCCTGTGGTGTATAAATTCAATTCCTCTATCTATTTCTTCATGAAGGCACAAATGCTAGGTGATGCCAAAACGGCATACAGAAAAATGAAAAATATGAAGATCCAACCAAACGTTGCAACTTACGTCAATCTAATTCACGGTTATTCTTCTGTGGGGATGTATCGTGAAATTACATATTTATGGGGGGATATTAGGAGGAGCATAGAGAATGGTGTGGCCTTGAAAAACTGCGGTTTATATGAGATGTTATTGTTGAGCTTTCTTCGGGGTGGTTATTTTGAGAGGGTGATGGAGGTAATTGACCTTATGAAGGAAAGCAATATGTACCTAGACAAGTGGATGTTTAAATATGAATTCCTGAAGTATCACAGGGGTCTTTATCATCGCATGAAGGTGTTTGATGCGAAAAATGAGGTGCAGAAAAAGAGGATTGAGTATGTTAAGGAATTTAAGAAGTGGGCCGGCTTGGATTGCTAGTTACAGACACACACTTTCGTAAAACAGTGTAATTCCAATTTTACCCTTATTATAATGTTGTCTCAGTTTTGATTCGTATTAATGCCGTCTCAATTCTAATTCATATTAACGCCATCTCAGTTTTTTTGGAACATGTACTCATAGCTTCATGCATATGCACACATCCACCACGCACCACCGCACCACTGCACATGTCTGAACTCTAAAGTTTCCAGAATGAGAGTGAATAGAAGAAGCAAGATCCATAACTCATTTCTTCCTTCAGCCAGCAAATCGAAAGGACACACCAGATGAGAGAGATGATTCCATGGATATATCCACAGTCAGCAAGTCTTTGCAACCACCCACAGGGCACAAGTAAGGAGCACTGAATTCCATTGATACTTCCATTCGTTTCGAGTTCGACGCTCCATCTCAGCATCCCATGTTTCTTAAGGCTCGTTCAACATGCCATGTATGGTAGTGGTAAGTATTACTCATTTACTTCGCTCCATCCTAACTTTGCTTTTACTTCCAGTCTTTTCAAATGTTTGGAAGAAAATTTGATCTGGTTTCAAATATCCATATACAAACTGAAATTGGTAGATACTGTAATTGTATCAAACTTTAGACTGTTGAAATCCCAAATCTGAAACACTATTTACCTATCTTTACAAGTTCTGTTTTTAAAACGAGTAGACAAGTCTTATTTCCATGTTAAGGATTATTATTTGAGTTGTAATTTCCATATATTATTTGGATAATTATTATGATAAGTGGTGAATGTGGTGCGACTTTATTTTGATGAAGGTCAATTCTGGTGGATGGAGGTTAATATAGGCTTTATTTTAAGACGATTTGTATGTGTGTTGTGCGTTTATTTATTTTATATTTTTAATTTCCAGACCAGTAGCTATTGTAGCTCTCTTGGTTCTTATCCCTGTTAATATTGCAGATGGAACTCTATTCTTCCTCCTTAAGGACCTGGTGGTTACTGAGATTGAAAATTTGTCCATATCCAACATGAGACTCAAATCTATGCAGCAAGTCTTATTTCCTAATGATAATCAGATTTATTTGGTTTTTTCACTATGCTTCAATCGAGTCTATTCCCTAAAAATCCATTTTGTTGTAATCAATTTTGTGATGTAGTAGTAAATACAAGTTTTTCCTAATATGTACTGTCAAAGGAGTGATGTAGTAAAGTAGTACTCGTAGTATATTCCATGATAAAATACACATATTAGTAGTATATTCAATGGTTTAACTAAACTGTAATTTTTTTCCTTTTTAGGCTTAATGTAAGCTGTATGGTGTAGAGTGTTGGGCGTTGAAACAATGTCACATTCAAAAGATGAGTGTGGCAGAGATGCGCATGCTGCGTTGGATGTGTGGGAATACTAGAAAGGACCGCGTGAGGAATGAGACAATCAGACAAAGGGTAGGAGTAGCACCTATTGAAGACAAGATGCGGGAGTCGCGCCTACGGTGGTTTGGTCATGTGCGTAGAAGACCGAGTGATGCACCTGTTAGGCGAGTTGAGATGTGTGGAGAAGAGGCAGAGAAGAGAGGGAGAGGAAGACCCAAACAGACGTGGGTTAGGGGAGTTCGAAGTGATATGCTTCTTCTGGGGTTGGATGTAGGCATGACTTTGGAGAGAACTAAGTGGAGGGCGGGTATTCACGTGAAGGAGTGATCTTGATAATCTTTTTCCCTCATCTCTTTTTTTTCCCTAGTTTTTTTATCCTTATATATATAAGCATTATTTGCAGCCTTTTTATTTTATCATTTTTATATATATTCATCTTTTTTTTATATTATCTTTTCATAATAGCTTATCTTTTTATCTTTATTCCTTCTTTTCCTTTTGATTGTGATATCATGTATCGATTCATGTTAGCTGACCCCAATATCTTTTGGGACTAAGGCTTGAATGTTGTTGTTGTAGACTTAATGTAAGCTGTATAGGTTTACTTGGTCTGGCACAAAAAGCATACCCTCTGAGTCTATTCCATTAGGTTGCGAAGAGCATGAAAGATGAAATGCCCATTTAATCTTTTGCTTAACAAACATGGTTAAAACAAGGTTATTCATTTACTAAATTATAAATTAAAACTCCATAGCTTTTCAAATAACTAACCTCAACTTATCACTAAGAAACAAGATCTTAATCATGTATTATTTCATTCGTGAAATGTAATATCTGGAAAATTAGTCTGTTTCAATCATAAGCCGTATACTCCAATCGATGGAATGAATGTGACCGAGGCCTTCCTTCTCCCATTCAATGTACCTATTTGTTTTATTCAATGTTAATAACTTCCTCACTTGGACCCACCCACATGTGTTGAAAGTATGCCACTAAAATCCTTAATATGAGCTAAATATGGGGTCTCCCACTCTACTGTGGAGTCGAGTCTAAAATGTTTCCAATTTGCTACACAATCCCAAACTTGTTAAAAGCGCTCAAAAGCGCGCTCAAGCGCCAAAGCGCAGGCGAGCGCCGGTTCCCCGCCTGACTTTTGGGAAGCGACTCTCCGTGAGAAAGCTTCGCTTTTCCTTCGCTTTTCGTGAGCTCGCTTTTCAATTAAGTGACCGTTTTTCTGAGCTTTTCACAAAAAGCGAAGGTCAATTTTGTTTTTTAAGTTTTAAGTGTTATCGGCCTCACGCTAGAAATTAGGGTTATGTTCGTTCGATTCTTTCCACGCACCAGACAACGTCGCAGGTGAAGAAGTCGCAAGTGAAGAAGTCGTAGGTGATGAAGCCGCAGGTTTGGAGTTCGCCCAGACTTCTTTTGGGCTAGAAATCTCCAACTCGCCTGTGAGCCGCACAATCTCTTTCGCGTAAACATCGTTCTTCAGTCTTCACTCTTCAGGTTTACTCTGTTTTTTTTTTAATTTGAAAACTTTCAGTCTTATTACAGACTACAGAGACTTTAGCCTTTTGATCTGTTTGTTTTTTGAAACACCTTTCAGCCTTAAACATCGTTCTTCACTCTTTAGCTAGTTACATAATTAATTTATCAACCCCAGTTTACTCCACTAAATTAAATTTTAGTTTATTCATTTCAGTTTATTGATTAATTAGTTTTTAGTTTATTCCAGTTTTTTCCTTTCATTTTAATGATTAATAAATTTTTAGTTTATTCCTTTCAGTTTATTGGTTAATTAATTTTTAGTTTTTTCCAGTTTATTCCTTTCATGTTATTGATTAATTAATTTTTAGTTTATTCAAGTCTACTACTTTCAGTTTATTGATTTATTAATTTTCAGTTTATTCCACTAAGTTTATTGATTAATTAAATTGTACAGTTCATTTACACTTGCTTGATTATATATTTGTGAAATATGTATATGTAAACTGTAGACAAAATGTCTAGAGAACAATCTAAAAGTCAAGATCCTCAGGGGAGAAACACTACTTATGCATTTTTGGCTTAATTATACATTATATATATTATTTTTTTAATATTTTATAAGCATCGCTTTTTGTGAGAAAGCTACGCTTCGCTTAGCGCTTTCGCTTTTAAGCAAAGCCCAAGGTCATCGCTTTTGGACGCTTTTCGCTTTAAAAAAGTTTGCACAACCCTATATTCTGGTACAAATACATAATTTTGAGAATAAGGAAAGCCACATTGTAGGCGAGAGGAGGAGCAGCTCTTGAGAAAATTCTCTCTTGACATAATTTCAATTTGTTTTCTGCACTCATAATTGCAGTTGTGCTAAAAATGATAATTGAATTGGTAACATAGAAGTAAAATTCAAGTACTAGAAAATATACTTATTATTTTGAATATACTAAATAAAAAAACAAGCAAATCAGAACTTGGATTGCAATTATGTGGGCATAATGATAGCTCTTGTTGTTTGGCCTCTGAAAGTTGATTCTTGGAAGGCCATTCGGATTTGGAACATGGTTTATCCCCAAATTCAATTTAAAGTTGTTTACCACTTTCGGTCCCCCGACTATTGCGTCAGTGACACTTTTGGTACTTGACTCTTAATTTTTACATTGTTAGTCTTCGACTATTGTCCTAGAGACATTTTTGTCCCCGACTTCAAAATTTCCCACATTTGGTCCCCTGAGTATTATCAAATTGACACTTTTAGTCCTCCCACTATGATTTTGGCACAATAAGTGGAGAACTAAAAATGCCACTATTATAATAGTTGAAGAACCAAAAGTGTCACTTTTATTAAAGTTGAAGGACTAATTATGGAAAATTCCAAAAACGGATACTAAAAATGTCTCCAGCATAATAGTCGAGGACTAAAAATGGAAAAAATCATAGTCGAGTATCAAAAATGTCAGTGACATAATAGTCGGAGGACTAAAAATGGAAAAAATCATAGTCGAGTATCAAAAATGTCAGTGACATAATAGTCGGAGGACTAAAAGTGGCAAAAACTCCAAGAATTTTTTAGTCTCCGTTCAAATTTCATAGATTGTACAAGGTGTGTGATAATTGTACAACAAATCATAAAGCTCTTTCTGCCTATTTTATTGATGCAGGGTGCTAGATAACTTTATTGATCAAATTGAATGAAGCTGAAAATTGAATTCATCATCGTGGAACTTGGATGAAGGGTATCGGCGTTTCAAAGTATGAGAACTTGCGCACCAGAGACGTTGGCTGAATTTAACGTTGATGTGTATAACGGTGGTTGTGTTGTTATAATAAGTTCAGATATTTGAGTTAATTTAATTATTTAATATTATAATTTAGTGGCTGTACATAGTAATTTGGGTGTTGAACTTTGCTTGTGAGTAAATGAACTTCACAGAATCACAGGAAGTCTATCCTACTCCACTTTTTATGTTTAATTTGTATCATGTTTAGAGGCTGTTTGGTAACACTGTTTTTCTGTTTATCACGCTTATCGGTCAACTTTTTCATCGGACACGTAACTTTTGCGCTTATCGGTCAACTTTTTCATCGGACACGTAATTTTTGTTTTCGCGCGTTGGATTGTGTAATAATAAGAAAAAGTAAGGTTGTAGTTACTTTTCTGGCTGTATTGGTTGAGGTTAAAATAGACGACCATTTACATAAAATGGTCGAATCAGCCAATGCAGTCACTTCAGAAACAATTTCATAAATTTTGGCAGAATAAGTCGATTCAGTTGATTTTTGTGTTACCAAACGGACTCTTAGTTGTTAATACTCGTAGAGTTAATACGTTTTTATTGTACATTATTACTCATTGAGAAGCTGTTCTCTTCACCTGATCTGAATGTTTCTAATCTAAATTTTTTAAGTTCTGATTTGATCTGATATTTTCTGATCTGATCTGATCTGATATGATTTGAATCTTTTTGATTTGATCTGAATCTTTCTAATATGATCTAATTTGAATATTTCTATAATTATAATTATATTTATAATTGTAATTATAAATATAATTTAAATATAATAATAATAATTAATATCATAGTTATAAAAAATATAATTATTATTATAGTCATAAATAAAATTAAAATTAAAATTATATTATTTATACCTATTATACTAATTATAATTATAGTTATAATTATAATTGTACTTATATTTTTAATTATAATAATTTCTATAGTAATGTAATTATAATATTTATTTCTATAAATATAATTACAATTGTAATAATAATAATAATAATTATTATTATTATAAATGTGATAAATCATTTTTGAACTATTCTGATCTGATTTGAATGTTTCTGATCTGGTCTGATATGATCTGAATCTTTCTGATCTGATCTAAATGCTTCTGATCTGAATTTTTGATCTAATCTCGTCTGAATAAAATTAGATTAACCAACAAGTAATAAGAATACGACGAACAGAACAACTTCTTAATCCTTTGGTTTTTTCTATGTTGTAAAAATCGAATTCGGAACCGACCCAGATGAAAGATCGGGTCACGGGTCAACCCGGTCAATGTTCAAAAACACAGTCAATTGTTATATAGAACTAGTATAGTACCCGTGCATACGCACAGGGAAAAGTAATAGGTGCATATATGTTTACTTATTATATAATTAAATATTAAAATACAAATAACTTTGTAGGATTCTACATTTTCGAAAAATAAGAATACAATAAGCTAATATCATAAAGTATAAGCCCATACACTAAATATTCAATAAAGAGTATCTAGGAAAAATTAATTAACACCACTCATTAGAACTTGTACTTATTAATTTTTATGATTAAATTAATTTCAAATTTAATACTATTGTAAAAAGTGAATACAATAATGATTGAAATTAATGAATAGTACGTATTAGTTAAATACTCCCTCCGTCCCAATTTATTTTGCAAAATTTCTTTTTTTTGGCTGTCCCAAAATGATTTTCTACTTTCCATTTTAGGTATACAAACATTATTAAAGTTACAAGTTTGCCCTTCTTATCTTTCGCTCACCCACCTCCAACTAATGAGCTGTTATTTATCATTTTCTCTTACCCACATATCTGGCCATTACTTACACACTCACTTTCACCCACCTTCTCTCCTCAGCTTCCCATTCCAAGGAATGAATGGAATCTGACTTCGTCGATTAGCTCCTCTTGCTTAGGAGAAGAAGGCACCAAGCAGGCAAACGGCTCCGGCTCCACCCTCCCTTTCTCAGTCAAACAGCTCTGGCTCCGGCTCCCTAGTTTCACCACCTAAATATTCCTAGATCTGGGTGATTCAGCGTCGCCCTCGAACAGACCTTCAGACGAGTCACCACCACTCTCACAAAACTCTTGCATAAGTGGAGGACGTCGGTCGTTGAATCGGGTCTAATTTAACCGGATGAGTCGCCGCTGGCGCGGCACCACCCTCGGACACCCTCGAAGATGAGTCGCCGCCGCCCTCGGACACCCTCAGAGATGAGTCGCCGCCGCCCAGGACCCGCCCTCATTAAAGCAAATACTTGGGTCGTGGGTCGAAGCACTGTTGGCTCTAGCGATTAGCATAAGAGTATTACTGTTGCACCCTCGAAGATGAGTCTCCGTCGCCCTCACTTTTTTTCAC